TCTCCAAAATCACAAGTCCTTCTCATTACGCCCACCAGCGGCCGAGCGGTAAAATCGCTGAACACTGGTATTTCCGATCTGGGTTCGATTTCAGGCGAATGGGCTGGCTGCATGAGCGTTTTCGTGGTTTTCCTTATGTGTAACGTGTATACAAGCCATTTTACCTTAAAAAGGCCTCCACGAAGGCATCCCCTAGGCAGACTGCCCTCAAAAGCTTTCCCATAATTAAAATAAATCCAAATAAGTAGGAGAAGATTTTGAAAGTTGGAGAAGTGATTTTGATCTATCACATTTACCCACAGCTCAGAAGGAAAAGCTGCAAGATCCATTGAGTCGTTATAGACATATCTTTAACCTTATCGGTATTGGAATTGTCGAGATGTCTAGCTATTCTTCATAACATTAAGTTACGCGACAGCGTTTCAGCGCGTCAAAGTGCCATGTCACCTGAGGGATAAATTAAATAGACAGATCTCAGACATCATTAGGGAAAGCACTTCTGCTTATAGTGCCCGAAAATACCCACAAATTAGTCACAGATTTCAGGAAGCTAACGAAAAGACGGTGGAAGATAGTTTCTCCCTTCCGAACACATTATGGTTAATGAAAGGATTGGGGGGCTGTTTGAATTATCCTCGACTTTAGGTTTCTTTCAGATGAAGATGCACCCGTCGGGCATCTTCAAATATAGGTTTTCGCTGCCACAGGACATTAAGAATGGTCTCGAGTGGTGTTCGGTCTTAAAAACGCTTCGAGTTCCTATCCTTTCAGCGGTTAATGGACACTGTCCGGCTTGTTCCCATTACAAATAAGAATTTATATTGACAATAATATTGTAAATGGTTCAAAAGCATTGAGGATTATTTAGAAAAACTGAAAATTTTTCTTTGACTGGTTAAATATGCATAGCCTCAAACCAACAAATGCAAATTCTTATAGCTCACTGTGAAGTATATGGGATATAAATTGTCCAAAGGAATTATACAACCGGACGATAGGAATCTAAGAGTGGTTCAAAAATATAAGCTCCCTTCAAACAAAAAGGAAGTTAGAAGATTTTTGAGATTAATTGGGTGTTATCGTAAATTTATTCTAAATTTTGCTTAAAGAGACTTCTGACGAAACTGACTTAAAAAAAGGAAAAATTTAAATGGTTAGAAGATGTTCAACATGCCTTTGATACCTTTAAAGCGGAACTCTTAAAGCAACCAACTCTTTAGTTTTTTTTATATATTATTTAAAACATGTAAGAGTTATTTTAACATGTAAAGGAATATTTCTTTTAATTATACTTATCAGATTTTTTTTCTACCTTTAATTTCAACAATACATATTCTAAAACTCTTTTTTTTACTACTTTCTTAAGTACGCATCTCATAGAATTTACTTTACAATACCTTTTAACAGATTGCTTTCCTGTACGAAAAATTCTTGCTTAAATAGTTTTATAAGCGGATTTGTCAACAGGATTTCAATTTATTTGTACATTTCAATGTTAAGGTTATTATAAATTTAGATGCATTGAATAATTAGATTTTTTCACAGTAACTTTCACAGGAGTTTGTGAATGAAAAAATCCTTAATTTCAAACACATTTATAAATAATTTGATAAATATTTACGTATTTTGTTAAAGGCAGATACATGCATTTTGCAAGCATTTGCATAAATACCCATACATATTTCATATTTTTCATTTCCGGCATGTATAAATCTTCTGTGCATTCACTATATTTTTCGAGTAAAGTAATTGACAATAATTTAGCATAAACCCGAAATTTTTACATAAGAAATATGTATAGATATAATTTGAATGAAAATTACATGCGTTATTTTTAATACCCACTCAAAGATCAGATTTTCTTCGAAACCCAAAGTGATTATTTTTCAATTATATAAAAATAAAATGATGAGTTCAAAATGAGCAACTATAAAGCCTGTTCTCTAAAAATTTTTAAAAAGTACACGTTATAATGATATGTGAATAACAAAAAAGTTTATTTTATTTAAAAAAATTTGGCGTTTGGAGCGTAAAATAAAAGCAGCGAATACTCTATCAAGGGTATCAGAAGGCGTATACAGTTTTAAAGGTAACGTAAGGTATTTTTCATTCTTTAAGCAGGCCCACCAGCGGACGAGCGGAAAAGTCGCTGAACAGTGGTAGTTCGGTCCGAGGCTCGAATCCCGCGAATGGGCTGGCTGCATGGGTGTTTTCGTGGTTTTCCCCATGCGTAACGTGTATACGAGCCAGTTTCCCTTAGAAAGTCCTCCACGAAGGCATCCCTTCCCTTAGGCAGATAGCCCTCGAGGCTTTGCCATAATCGCACACACACATTCTTCTTTAAGAAGAACATTTTTGCTAAAATCTATATTTTTGTACTTCAACAGCTTACAATTTTATAAAACAAATTTATAATCAAAATCGCTGTTGTTAGTTATCGAAAAATAACCAAGATGTGATTTTTGCTTAAATGTCATTAAACTGTACAAATTGCTATTATCCATCACACAATGAATGTTTATTTTATGCGAAAGTGTTCCGTTTTTTGATTTGTATGGAACTGTCGTGTGTCGAAATACTATCAAAGCGCTGTCAAGGAAGCTTCTGAATGTAAACACCCCCCCCCCCCGATCTGGAGAAAGAAGCCTCGGAGCAGTGCTTCACTTGTAGTGCAGAGTTCCTTCCTTTCTTACCTAGATGGGTTTTGCACTGCGGGGGGGGGGGGTGGGGAATGAATTTCCTGAACTGTGCTTAGTTAATGAAAACGTCATTATATGTTTTCTCAAGGTAACGAAAATTTTCAAGGAAATAGAGCGGTTTTTGAACTAATGAGAAGTTTCTGAAAGTAAAATATAAACAAACGGGATCAATATCGTGTGTAATCAATAAAAATTAGGGTTTATGAATTTCTGATGGCATATAAAAGTAATTTGTTACGTTATATGTTAAAGTTTTTATTGTGTTGTGTCTAGAACCAAAACTATTGTGTAAAATGAAAATTAAGATTAGTTTAGTAATATTATTGCTCTTAAAAATTACTTTAAAGATTACATGGAAGAAATTAGATGCTTATTCATATTTTCATTACTGACTCACGCAGTACCAGCCAATAAGATGTATTTCCTTAAGTGTAATACTGTTGTCATTAAATATCGGTATCAACGTAAGGAAATATTCTAGATTTTAAGATTTTAATTTAAGTTAAACAGTAATTATCAGATAGACTATTTTTGAATAAAATTTTAATAGCTTCCTGAAGGGATGTTAGAAAGTATATACAATCGTAATTAAAAATATAAATAATAATACTATTCAAAAAAATTTTGCTTAAGTATAACGAAGATTAAATTAATAATCTTCACAGACATTTCAAATCGAAGTGTTAAAAAAATAACTTACATAGACTCGTTATCAGGCCTAAATATCATCAGGCTTACCTATTTTAGCAATAATAATAGGAACATAATTTAATACAGTATCTGAAAGAGAAAATATTGAGTGATGGAGACCGTTGGCTCAAGTACAAGGTAGGTGTAAGGCCTATACAAGATACAGGTAGTCAAATTGAGGATCGATCTTACGACCTTCAGTCTCTAGCCAATATATAGCTTGGCGCACGTTCACTTCTTACGATTCTGAGTTTCATTATGCAAATATAAGTAATTTATTTTAAGACTGACTGAATGAGATTTTACTGATTTCAACTTATATAGACTGCATTTATTATTTATATTTGATACTTATTTTCACTAACATTTTTAACTTTTTAACGAGCTTTTATTATTTTATTTTACAGTGCAATCTACAATGCCTACGAAGAGAACCCGACTATGGAGTGTTTTTTACACAGGCTACCGATGAGAAGGCAAATTGTGATCTTTGCTACACGCTGTATTCAGTAAAAAGGTGGCTCAACAACAAATAAACATATAGAAAAACACAGGTCAACTTACGAAACCATGATTTCATGCTCCATGTCGGATATAATAGTTCAAGAAACTCCTGTGGCATCAACATCAACAGCAAGTACTGAACATATTAATCATTCAATAGAACTGATATCTCAAACAAATTTAAAACAAACGACGCTGAGTACTTTCCTTAAACGCCCCGTAAGTGTAGTACGGGAAAAAAAAATAAATGACTTAATTTTTAATATGATAGTCAAAGACCTACAGCCTTTTTCTGTCGTTGAAGATACTGGTTTTAAAGAGCTAATTAATTATTTAGAACCTGGTTACAAATTACCTTCAAGGTACACATTTAGTAATACCTTCCTGGACGCTCAGTACCTTGAAGTCCAAAGCAGATTAAAAAGAAGATTGCAGAGTGCAAACTTTGTATCAATTACGACCGATGCTTGGACTTCGCGAGCAGCGACTTCACATCAGGCCGTTACTGCCCATTATATATTAAATTGGGAGCTGAAGTATGCACTATTGGGCTGTTTTGAATGTCATGAGCGACATACAGCCGAATATATAAAGAAGGAATTATGTAACTTGCTGTCCCATTGGAATTTACAAAATAAAATATTTGTCTGCGTAACAGACAATGCAGCAAATATGAAAGCAGCCATACGGTTGGCCAATTTTGAACATTTGCCTTGTGTCGCGCATACGCTTAATTTAATTGTGCGTGCGGGACTTCAGGGCGCTGAACTAGATTGCCTCATAAAAAAAATAAAAAAACCATCGTGGAGCATTTTCACAGAAGTCCGTTGGCAACGAAAAAATTTGCTGAGGTGCAAAAGCAGCTGAGGCCTGGCGAAAAGCCTCTTAAATTAAAAATGGACATAGTGACCAGATGGAACAGCACCCTGGATATGCTAGAAAGAATGTGTATCCTTCAGGAGCCTCTAGAAGCGGCCCTTGGACTCCTACACAATCCATCCAGTTGCAAATCTGTCAGAAAGTGACTGGCAGGCTCTTCCAGATGTAATTAAAATTTTAAGACCATTTAAGCAGCTAACCGAAGAAATGTCGTCTGAAAATAAGGTTACTGTTTCAATGGTCTTAGCTGCGACTGAAAGTGTAATTAGCATGTTTGAAAATTTAAATTTAAATTTAAATATTAATACAGAAATTGGAAAAAATCTATCTAATAAAATAATAACAGAATTCAAATACAGGTTCAAAAATTGTTATAGAAACCCAATATATATCTAAAGCAGCACTATTAGACCCGCGGTTTAAGAAGTTGGCATTCAGACTAGCTGATGAATCAAATTATGAGTGTGCTAAAACTCTGCTGAAAACTGAACTTGAAAAATATTTTAATGTTGACAAACAGCAGACAGTGCAATCAAATAAAGTCACGCCAGCAATATTCACTGACACTAACACTAACGAGGACTCAATATGGAAAGACTTTGATGCAAGAGTGACATCAAACTCCGTCTCAAACTCAACTGTATCCAGCATCGTCACTATGAGGCAATATTTTGAGGAACGCATTCTTTCTAGGAATGAGTGCCCATTAAAATGGTGGCAGGCGCGGGCATTACTCTACCCCGAACTTTCAATTTTAGCAGAGAAATATTTATCGATCATGGCTACCTCGGGACCATCCGAAAGAACGTTTTCGAAATCGGGGCAAATACAAAGTGAAAAACGTTGTTCCATTCAACCAAAACGAATGGAAAAAGTTTTATTTTTAAACATGAACAAAAGATTACTTCGCTAAAAATAATATGAAATTGTTCTTTCTGTAATGCTTAATTTAATTATTTTTGTAAGTTTTTTAAAATGTGCATAAAATGTTTCATAGTTTTTTTAATTTTTAATGTCCATATATAATTTTCCTAATGTTGTCGAATCGAATGTCATTTAAAACAATGTTAGGAATTGTTATGATCGACCTGAACAAACATAATGCTTTACATATCATATTATAATCATAATCATTGATTTATCAATAGGCCAACATAAAAAGGGATCTGAATAAGAATAACAAAACAAGAATAGTTCAAAATACAGAAATGTGTAAAATATGTATAATATGTAATATTTATATGTACAAAGTTTGCTAAAACCAACCGGTAATTGAAGAAACTGACCCAGTCAGAATAAGACACACTGCCGGAGACTACTCTTGGTGAGCAGTTTTTTATATCAACAAGTTAAGGGGTTGGTTTTTATTCATTCGTCTCTCACTCAAATGCCTCTTTATGTATCTGAGTTGATATTATCATTTTTATTTAGAAATAAATGACTTAATAATGTATAATTTTCTGTAATAATTTTCTAGATTTTATTCTCAGAAAAGATACCGAAGTGAATAAAAAATCTGTAGAATACTCATGTGAAATGGGTAATAAAATTCTGGAGATCAAAAGAAAGAAATGCATTTGTAAATAAATTAGTGTATGTTGTTTACGGTGTTGTATCTCAAAAAATAAAACAAAACAAAAATGTTCATTGCATGTTTTTTCAGGACTATCAATCCGGCTCCGCGCGAAAGATTTTTTAAATAATTAATATTTAAAATTTAAAATAAGCAAGGTAACATGCACATTAACTATTTTATATAACAACCAATCTATGAATACATTGCCTGTCATGTATGTTCTTTATATATTTTAAACATTATATATAATTATTTCTAAATTTACAGTGTGTAAAATAATATAGCATTCTATTAAAAAATTTGTTGCTGTACTTTTTAGGAGAATAAAGGTTTCATATGTTATCTTTACCAACTTTCATAATAGTATTCTATGTTTGTTCTTAGAAATTTTCAGCAGAGATATTATATTTTGCACACGGTGTCATATGTATAATCACAAAAAAATACAACCTGAAGTAAGAATATTTCAAGTATTTGTTTCTTATGTACAAATAAGTAGTTTTGTATTAATTTAATATTTCACACTCAATTTATTAACAAATTAATTAAATTTTATAATGGTTCTTAGAAAGCAACCTTAAACCAAGCAAAATAGACTTTAGACCATTTAACACATTAGATATTCTGAAAACATAACATTAGTGTAACCATTGTAAAGCAGTAAATTAATGTTAATTATGTAACTAAGTGCATAGTTATTCTCAAATACGCACCTATTTGTGATAAAGTAGATAGTATAATGAATTGAATGATGATAGTTTATTAAATCTGCTTGAAAAAAAGCAATTATAAAGAATCATATTTATATAGTTATTCTACTACTATGAATAATTCTTCTTCTAAAGGAAAGAAAATGCAACTGCCAAATCAGTTTTGAAATGAAAAAAATACCAATGATGATACATCATGTAATCGTAACTTTATCCAAAGATATTGCTGCAAAGTAAAGTGGAAATCGTTCTATAAAAACAGACAAACAGCTTTCAGACTCCGACAAATTGTTACCATTTTTCATAATTAGTGTTCATCAGCAGTTGAATGGATAATACTGTAGAGCACTGGTAGTTTAACTCATTGCATGCAGGTATATCTTGCCAAGCCATAAATCAACCTTTCACTTACAAGAAGAATTTAACAAAGCTCGCCTACTTGGCCTCACAAGTTCATCCGCACACAATGTGCTAATAACGCAAAATCAGAACTTAAGTAAATAACAAATAAGTCTAAATTAATTAGCTAACAAGCTAGCCCAAAATTCTAACTACTGCCGCAAATAAATTAATCTTCGGCTGTATAGACCAAAGCAAAGATATCAAGTGGACAGAAGAACGCTGGTAGAGTAGAGAGTCGCGCAATGCCGACTCTGTATTCATTTAAGTCATATAACTGCTGTGTTTATCTCACGACTTTCGAGTTATGATTTGAATTTAGTATATAATCATGTATTCATTATTATATTATTTTTTATATTACCTTAAAAAAATATTTATATGTGAGCTATTAAGAGTGTTGTGATGATGTACTAGTAGCTCACGATCGACCTCGTTCTAGATATGACTACCTGAACAGACAAAGTTTTCTTACGTTTATTTCAAGAATAAAGATATAACAGTAAATAAATTGAGAAGACGAATGCGGATCTGATTGGGAACTAGCGCAAAATAGTTTTGACTGGAGTGTCTACCTTTGAGGAAGATTGAATTTTGATTAATTGCAGGATACATGAAAACTATCAGCCTAGCAGAAGATTTGTATTCGTAGAATGCTGTTTACCGGAAAGAGAATAATCTTCCCGTTATGCATATGGAAAATCTCGAGTTGCGAGTCTTTTACTTAAGTTACTTTGCATGAAAATATGCAAATTTTTTCGATGCAAGGAATTTTAAGCTATTTCTGCTTTAAATGTAGGCAGACGAAAAGAAATTTTTAGCATACTAACTTATTATTTAGGGCTTTAATCAAAATAATATTCGTCTAGTAATTTTTTTCCCCAGTGAGTGACTAATTTTCGGTATTCAGGAAATGTTACATTGCACTAATCAAATAGTTCAATTCTCCCCCAGCTCAAAAAGTATCTATAATAACCATTCTCGAAATATTACTCTGCAGTAATCGCGTTTGACATTGAATAGAGAGAATATGGGAATGAAAAACAAATAATGCCTCGTTATTGCATAAAAGTAAACTTTGTTTTATATGTATGTGGAAATTTTATATATGAAAAGGATGTTACTATTCTTATTTATTGTAAGAATTGTTGTGTTTCTTATCAACGCTTATGATCTAAAATCGCTTACATATGTAAATAAATCATCAAAATATGTAAATTAAGCAATAACTGATTTAAAATTAAAAGATAATAATAAAAAATACAAGAATCTAAACAAGGTATTTTAACAATAATGAAACTCATTTAAAAAAATAGTTTACTAACTGTAGATATATCAGAGTAAGTTAAAGATAAGAAAACAGAAGTAATGAAGACTTAGATAGAGTTAAAAAAAAAATCCTCCATCTCTCTCTCTCCATCTAGCACATGGGCTGAGATTAGGACAATGGGGGAGAATTGGACGAAAGGACTACGTAACCAAATTTCCATCCACACACTAGTACTATTTCCAGCATTCTCTATATTCTCATTAGTGGAGCTTTGATTGTTTTCCTTTCTTCATTGGTATGCCGTAAAAATCATGGTCTTTGTTTCTATCATCCTTTGAGTCATTATATTATTTGCTCATTCAGAGCCTAAATTTAGCAAATGCTCGGCTGAGCTTTAGTTCTTGCGAAATTGTAATTTCGTCCACATCCCCAATTAAGACGAAGATTTCCCGGTTTCCTCCTGTGATTAAAATCGTACCGGTTTATTCGCTGCTACCCCCCTCATCCCCTCTTTAGACACCCCTACTGACAATTTATTTCCCATTTCGTCCACTTCTTTTCAACACCCCCTCATCAATACCCCTCCTCACGGACGGGGGACTTTCCCCCAATTCAACCCCCCTTTCAAAAAGTCGTTGTTGAGAGGCACATTTCTTGACATAGGGAACATTACATAGCAAATGTCAACTATGTACCAAACATCGATACACACATTTGCAAATATACAAATGAAGTAGGAATCAAGAAAAAAAGAAATGTTTAAAAGGTAAGAAAATATTTATATTTGTGTTACCTTTTTTTAGGGATAACAGAAAGCTCAAAATTTGTCAATCAGTACTATTTCATAATGCAATAAGCACAGTTTTATTCATTTAAGAAAATTTTTAGTAATTCGCTGCTCAGTGTAAACTGTTGTTAAACTTAAAAACACTTGAAAAAAAGTCATCATATGTGCGTTCGGCGCGCACACACATACTAGTTGGTTTGGTTTGTTACACTAGAGCTGTCTTAAGAGGAGGGGTGCCTTCGTGGAGGGACTTTCTAAGGGAAACTGGCTCGCATACACGTTACACATGGAAAAAACTACGAAAACGTTCATGCAGCCAGTCCGTCCACCGAGATTCGAGCCCCGCACAAAACTACCAGTGTTCAGCGACTTTATCGCTCGGGCCCTTATTGGCCCTCACACATACAAGAAAAAAGTAGATGATTTATGCTGAAAAAAATATTCTGAAAAAGGAACTGCGTTTTTTAACCGTTTACATCTGTTGTGCCGAAATAAAAATGTAATCAAAAACAATTTTTTGTATTCGAACGAACTTTATTGTGTGCACATGAATTATTATTATAACAACGTATGAAAGGATATAAGTTGAGAAAAGATTTCGAAGAAAATAATTTTCATTTTTAACTAGGAGCTTCGCTGCCAGCCTTCGTCTGGCTTTTAAATGTACCGGAAAAATGGCTGAAGGGAACACCAAATGTTAAATTTAAAAACTGCGTAGAATTTTACTCTGCAGAACAACTTCATAAAAAAAAGTTACTACGTATAACAAAATTACAAAGAAATAAACAATATCCTTTAATACAAATATTAATTATCCTAATAAATAAATTAACCAACTTCCCTTTGCAAAATCTTAAGAACTCAAATGGTATAAAGGAGGTTAAGAACTTTATTTCCTAAAAAAATCACTCAAAACTTTTCAATATCTTAAAAACTGTGAAATGAGCAATATATAACATAAAAGAATACAAAAAAAAAAAAAAAACAAAAATTCTGAAAATCAAAGTATAATTAATGATATTTTATCTTATATTTTCAAGAGAAAAAAATTACAATGAAATAAGCTATATCCCTTAATAAAAATATTAATTATCCTAATAAAAAATTATTCAACTTTTCGTTGAAGGGAAAAAAATCATGCGGAACGTTTCAATATCTTACAAACAATGAAATAAACAAAAAATAACATGAAAAAAAAAAAAAAAAACAAACAAACAAAAAAAAAAAAAAAAAAAAAAAAAAATCCGCGCGGAATTTTACTCTGCAGGGCAAAATAAAAATGTATTATATATATATATAAATGACAATGAAATATGCCAATCTCTTAAAAACGATGAAATACCATAAAAAATACGATGAAAAATTGTTGCCAAACCCATATTTCTAAAAAAAATGAAACAATTTAAAATGATGCGATTTCATCAAAAATCTATCAACAACAATAAGACAGGAAAATTGTTGCCAAAATCACATTTTTAAAGATCTGAGAAGTGTACTCGGAAGCTTCATTTAAAAAAATTTTTAAAAATACAATATTATTATTTTTTTTTCCAAAATTCTTTTGCAAAAGCAGTTGCAAGGATGAAAGTTTAATGTTTCCAATGTTTCCAAAAATCAAAGAAAAATAAACTGTACATTTAAAGAAAAAAAAAAAAAAAAAAAAAAAAAAAAAAAAAAAAAAACCTTTTTATAAAAAAATCCGGTTGAAATGGTGTTAAGCTCCCTTTGTTAAATAAATTCGTACTGAATCGATTTATTGAAAGACGAATTTATTTTAAGTTCGTAAAATAGCTAAGTGCCTACGTTTCATGACGATGTGAAAATGGAGTGTGTAGAGTAAAATCTCGCTTTCCTATAGCCCATTATGTCTCAAAATGACGCGATTTCGTCACAAAAACATAAAATAAAATAAATTCTAATTCTAATTTCGAAAAAAAACTGCTTCGAGGTGCACTGGCTCTTAACTAGATGCACTTACTATGTGCCAAATTTCGTAGCCGTGGGTCTATTAGCTTATGCGCAGCGCGAACGAAAGACACACACACAGACACTTTCTTTTATTATATGTAGAGATTTTTTCAAAAAGAGATATCATATTAATTTCCAAATAATTTAAATCTGCTGTGCTGAAATAAAAATTTAATAGAGAATATTTTTTTGTGTTTGTTTATTGTATATGTAGGATTTACTATTATTACGTGTGTGTGTGCCTGTCTCAAAGTAAATATTTCAGTTATGTATAATAAAAAGTATAAAAAAAGAATTAAACTCGCATAACAGCTAATTGCGAAAGAAAAATTAGAGCCATAAATCGCTCATTTTTTTAAATTACATTAATTCCATTATCTATTAGAAAATAATTATTGCAAATCATCTATTTAAACGACATCTCTAAGAGGTCACTTTCTAAGGAATCTGTATTTTTGAGAACATAAACAAACATTGGTAGTGAACATCACATTTTTAAGACCACCACATGTAAGATGCTCTAAAAGCATGAATGGTTGCATTTAAAGAGGACCCATTACTTTTAATAAAGAATGTAACTTTAATCTTAATTAAACATGTTTTTGGTGTGTGTGCCAAAATAGTGATACCGTGGTTCTGTTGCTTTAGAAATGTGTGAAATTAAAAATATGGATACTATATAACAAAAATGTTATTATATTCAGATTGGATTGGATTGGATTATTCAATTATGGCTAAAAACACACGAGGGCTATCTGCCTAAAGGGAGGGATGCCTTCGTGGAGGAATCTAAGGGAAAACTGGCTCGTATACACGTTACACATGGGGAAAACCACGAAAACGCCCATGCAGCCAGCCCATTCGAGGGATTCGAACCTCGAACCGAACTACCAGTGTTAGCGTCTTTACGGCTCGGCCGCTGGTGGGCCTATTATATTCAGATACACACCTTTTGAACACGTCGGAAATTCATTATTCTGCTCAGCATAATTTGTCTGCATAAAATATTAAATAGTATCAGAAATCAAAAGCTAAGTCGAAGTAGAAACAGTCATCTCTTCTAAACCATTTTAATTGAAGTAAACAGACGTTCGTCTTATCGTAAAGTAAACACTTATTTTTCAAACAGCGGATAAAACGAGAAAGAGGGAATTGGTGGGGGAAGGCAGCGAACGAAATGACACTTTTTCGAGCTCTGGATGAAATGAGAAAGGACGAACGGTACGGTACTAAGCCAATAAGACAAGGTCTGGTATTTTACTTTATTATTTAACTATTCATCATAAGTTTAAGAATTATTTAAATTTTTATTTGTCTTTACATTTTTTTTATTAAATTTTACTTATAAGTATTTTATATTTCAGTTGCTAATTATTATGTTACTTTAATTATTCATTATTTTAATCACTATTTTTTATTATTTTAATTATGAAGTTTTTTAATTTATTATTTTAATTACTAATTAATGTTATTATTGTCATATTTATTTCCTTTCTTTCTTTCTTTTTTATTTTTTCCTATTTTCCTGACGGCCTTCCGTAGGCGCTTCTGACTTTAAAAACTAAGCCCTGACAGCAATAAAAATTTAATAATGAATCATATCCAGTGCACCAAAAAATAATAGCCAAAATAAAGTGAATTATTTCTACTCCAAAAATGTGACGCAAAACTCCCTATCGCAGCACTACCCACAGTTCCCGCGGGGTAGAAAAGCTCACGTGATTCAATGCGATGCGACGTTTCAAGGCCCTTTTTAGGGCCGTAGACCGATAAAATAGGCTCAGGATACGGATACCGATGGATTTTACCGAAAGTAACGAGTAACGATACGATAGTAACGAGTACTGGTTCACCGAGTAACGAATACATACGGGTACACAATTTCTCGTTACTTCTACAGCACTACTTGGCACACTTCCAAAAGTTCAAATTGAAGGATTACAGAAGCGTGTTTGCCACACAAGAAAAGACATATAGTTACAACTTCACACAATAATAAAACAAAAGCACACTTTTGAAAAATAGACAATAATAATAAAAATAGTAATAATAGAATTCTTAACAATATTTTCTCGATTATGCAACAATAAAATTGGATGTGGCTGGATGGTGTGATTCCGTTTTTAAACCTTCCTTGACAGCCGGCAGTATCAATTCTTCACCGATGGTATGAGCTTTCCCCGATTTAGCAACTAATTTTGATATATTATTTAACGTTTTTGCGATGATGCACCTTTGTTTAAGACACTCATGCGGGTTGGAAAGGAACTGAAGGCAGTCACCGCACAGGATGGGGTTTTGCACCACTAAGCCTAATTTTAGAAAAAAAAAAGGTTTCAGTTCTGGCATCGTAATTTTTGGTACTATTTTAGATTATTACTTGAGCTCTTATATATGTTAAAATTAGCATTTAATAACCTTTCTTTCTTTATTTTACATGAAAATATATTTAAAAAATTGTTTATCTCGTAAAATAATTTTCAGTAGTGCTGTTCAAATTATTCCAAAGGTTTTACTGACAAGATTCATTAATAGAACAACCCAATAAAGACTATTACAGTAAGAAGTAACAAAATTTAAAATGAAGATTGAGTGAGGTAAATCTCAAAATACGGAGAAGCGCAAAGTCCTACATGGCACGTTCCACAAGCATAATATGTCTGTTGCTTTCTTCTTTGTTTTAGAACGGTTTGTGAACACACGGTGCACCTTCTTTGGTTTTTTTTCTCTCTTTTCATTCATACAAAGTGCAGGAAAATGCCTACCAGATAATTGGATAGATGTTGGTACAGAACTGACAGCAAACTGCTTTTCTTCTTGATAATTTCCATAGTTCTTGAACATTTGTTCAATCAGTTTCATTTTAAATTGAAGAAACACCATTTTAATGTTATGTTTTTTGTCAAAAATAATGCTGGAGTTCAATATTGTTATATGCATCAGCCCAAAAAAACAATTTCTTGTACCATTTAACTGATTTTCGAAAACATGAATAACGTGTCATAACTGCGTCTCCATGTCTACACCACCCATGATTTTGTTATAATCTATAATATATTTAGGTTTTAAAATGTCTTCTCCAGTGATTTTATCTTTTCTGCCAGATTTAGCCATTTCTGGTCCATATATGCTCATTAGCATAAAAACATCTTTCTTTTTTTCTTTAAAGGGAATGGTGTTCATGTTGTTTTGCTGCATTATTTCCAATTCAATCTATTTTAGTTTTTTTTCCTGGAAAGTCTTTATGCATCCTTTTTTGTGTTTTTAATACTGTTCCGCAAACATTCGTTTTTATGGAATGCAAGTATTCCGCAAGTGATGGAGAAATGAAGAAGTGATCCAAATATAAATTACACCCTTTCTCACATAAGTCGCTCATCAATATCTTCACAACTCTTTACCATAGCTGCTTAACATTTCTGTGTCCTTCCTGCAGTAAATTAAAAACATTCCATACATAACCGGTAACTGATTCGCATAACTTATATATTTTTACACTGTAATGTGACCTTTTGGATGGAATGTTTTGTCGAAAGCCAAGACATCCTTTACAAGCAAAAAGGTATTCATATATGCAAATATTTTCCTTGGGTATGTAGCTTTTTTTAAATTTAGTTTTTAGATTTTCTACAATTAGTCCTAGTTTTCCCAACTTTTTAGCGCTCTTGTCTGAGGTGAAATGCAAGAATTTAAAAATATTAAGGAATGTATCTCCAGGCATAACTCTATCGAAAAACGAAGTAGAAAATATTTCATTTGTAGTGAAATACATTTTCAAATTAAGTTTCTTGACAATACCCATCAGTATCATCATTGCAAAAAATACTTTTATATTCTCAGTATTTACATCTGAAAATCTGGCTGACTTAGAAGTTGACAAAGCACTTTTTTAGTGTTTTGAGCAAAACTGTTTGTTTCTTCAGCAATCAAATTTAGAAGAACATCATCAAAGAAAATATTTAAAAAATCAATTTCTCTTTCAGCATTTTCAGAATTTATTCCCGGTGTTCCAGTAAATGTATGGGGACGCAATTCCCAAGCGCAAGAGTCCAAGATAAAGTATCTTGAGTCGCACTTTCACGCGAAGTTGAAGGCAGGCACTCACTGAGTTCTGTTTCTGACAAAATGTATCAGAATCACTATAAGTATCACTTTCTAACTCTTTAGAAAATGAATCATCAATCTCATCCGTGTTAGTAAATGGTTCATTCACCATACGAGTGTATTCTGCCTCTGATAAATAATATCTTTGCGCCATAACAGACTGGAGTTGACGCTTTCGGAAATAAAAAAGGAAGGACCAAAAATACATCTAAAGGCAATGCAAAATGTAACAAAGCTCCACATAATAACCCTAAAAATCGTAAATACTAGAGGGAAGAAAAGAATAAAAAAATCTGATATAAATCAGACACAAGAATGTTTATATTAGCACCTGGCGATTTATAGAGCCCAACTTTGTTTACATTATGCTTCCCCTCCACCCTCGCAACAGCTGATGAATAAAAACCTGAAGATCAGGAACCTAAAACTGTTCATTTCAAAAGTAATGGACATAGGGTGCCATCTAGTGGCTTTTTAAAAAATATTCCAGCTTAAAATGCATATACGCATTGCCCGTCCCCTGAATTTAATCTCTAGTGATGTGTGAATGGGACACCTGGCTGTGAGAGATGTTCTTAGGGAATGCGTATATGGGACGCCCATCTGAAAAGGTTTAAGAGGCTATCAAACCATCATCACATTTTTTTGATGAGGTTGTCAGTAAGCCTGAGACAGACGGTGCCTTCAGAAACTTGTCCCTGATGTTCCTGAAAAGCAACAAATCTTTACTTTGCTTGTCAGGTTGAATTTTTTGCAGATGCTCCTGCAAAAGAGACAGTTTCATTGTCTCATTAGTCACTTTGTTACAAAGTTAACACACGGGAACACTTCAGGTATGTAGAATTGTATTGGCGACAGTTTCATTTATTAACTAAAATCATTGGGGGCAGCAAAATATGATGAGGGAAAGATAACTATTTATCAAAATTACTAATTCACAATCACATAAAGAACTAATAAACACAATTACCTAGCCGACTGGTCAAACAAATAATGAAAGTAAATCAAAAGTAAGGGAAAAGAAACTGAAATGAAGCAAAAGAAACATGGCAAAATGGAAGCTAAGAAAGTAAAAGAAATACTATTCAAATCAAATATTCATACTAAAAGGAAGCTCAACTTATGCACAGTGATTAATGGCACATAGGAACAGGTGACACATGTGCTGTGCCAGTTGGGATCAGAGAACTGCAGTGTTGGGTTCTTCAAGGTCATCATACCTAGAATTCAAATTCGTCTTGCCATTCTTTAAATTGTGTGAGGGTAGCTGTCATATAAGTGTGTTTTTACAAATGGTGCAAGCTGGATAATAGATTTAATTATTTTTTTTTTTTGGGGGGGGGGGAGTTTTAAAATTATGCCCAAATGTCAAAACATGCTCATTGTCCCTTTTCCGCCCAAAACAAGTTCACCACCCCAGTCGAGAAACAATGATCCATTGCTTTAAATTTCTGCTCGAATGACTGGCATGAGTTTGTCAACTTCTGCATAAACTTTCATAGTCTGATGGGATTTCATAATTGGATAAGATGTTTAAGCTGTACGAAATACATTGGCTTTTATGTCTTAAAGCAGTTTTTACTCTTTATCTTACATAATTTAAAATGCACACTTTTGATATTTAAGATGATAACAAAATAAGATGACATTTTTAAATTTTAGACCAGGAATTTCTTCTTCCAATCCTTTGGCTTTTCTAGCATGGATTGCACTATTTACACATTCAACTAACAGGAATTTTCATTTATCCAACATTTGGCATTTCCCGAGCTTTCCAGATAGTCAAGCTTTTACTGTACTTTGAAGCTGATAGTTAAAATTATGTTGCCATGTGTTTATTAGTATCATCAAATAAAACTTATGTGAGTAACATTAAGATGTCAAAAAGTTAAAGTATTCTATTTAAAAGAAGTCTTAATTCTAGAACTACAATTTCTCAAAATAATTTTTCCCCCAATGGCTGAAAGTATAAAGAAGTCATTGGAAATTCTGATCAAAAAAATTATTGAAGATGATACTGGCAGTTTGCCAAAAAAGGATTAAGCAGATATCACTGGATAAATAGTTAAACATTCAGTAAGAGTTCTGACATTTCTAAGCAAAATTTCTATCAGCTTTATTTACTTATCCATCTGAACATAATTCAGTTTAAAAATCCACATTTGTGACATTTTAAATTTTAAGCAAATTGTATTAATTTGTAATTCTTCTTTACTTGAAACAAACTAGGGATATTTATTTAGCATAATGAGAGTCAGTCTACAAACCACATTTGACCTGGCAAATCATTTATTAGATCTATTTTACTCTGATTGAAGTATTTAAAATTAACTGAGTTTAAAATTAATTGGATTATGGAAATTTATTCTTTATTTATTATTTGAATTATTGAAATATCAACTTATGGTCTTATATATGTTCTTATATTTGCAAAGTATGAATTCTATTTTGGATAAATTTAATGCTCTTCCAAACTTCCAGGACACTAAGAAAACAAAAAGATTCATTCATTCAAAATCAAGTTGACTGAATTTTAGTATTCACACAATAAAAAATCAAAAACCGAGTTATATCTCAAATTACTGCCAAGAATTTTGAAACCCACTATTCACATTAGATAATATGAAATGATTAAAAAACTGAATTAATATAAATAATAAATAAAAGCATAATTATTTTTGCCTGTGTAAGGGTCACAAAATTCTGGAAATAAACATGAAAAAAATTAAGGTAACTCCTTGGTCAATTTTCATTCAAAATCATTGGTTTAGTATAAAGCATTTCAAAACTGGAAAATCAAAAAGGAAAGAGGAGAAGCTATAACCCAACAATGTATAAATAACATCATTTTAAATACAGATGCAAAAATTTGTCATAAAAAAGAAAAAGGATACTTGGAAATGATGTATTCCACATTAAATAAACACAAAAAATATGTCAGTTTTTATAAAAATAAAAAATACACATTTTTTTCTTAAACTAACACCATACTATAATTATCAGTAGCAACAATTAAGGCAAGTCAGTCAGCGCCTGCTACAAAAAGTAAAGTCAAATGAGTCAAGTTTGGTTTTATAAAGTGCAATGCAAAATACAGTACAAAGTTAGTAATCTGGACTTGTCGGGACTTCAGCGATTCCAGATTATAGATCATCAGTTTAAATCTGGTAAGATGGCATGCAGAAATTATACAATTAAAAATATGAAACCGTAATTTATGAAATAAAGAGCAATTATTATCTAAAGGGTATCAAAATTTAAAAAAAAAAAAAACAACAACAACACCTTAATATTTGTTTACTTTATTAAACATTTCTTTCAATGTAAGTTGTTTAAGTTGCTTCTTTTTTTGTGCTTTTGTGTTTTCTCTTTAATTTTATAAACAGACATAATTTCTTGTTCGGTTACAAAGTTCCACTGTTCAAGTCCTGTAATTGCTGTGTCAAGAATACCGACTAACTTGTCACTCGAAATTTTTTCGTTTTCAATAACCTCTCTGTCACTTTTTTCACTATCGGAAGCGGTATTTTCTGGATCTAGAACCATACTACAGATTTTGCCGTCCATTAATTGATTAATGATTGAGGCATTGTTGTTGCAATGAAAAACTTCTGTTATATCAACTTCATTTATTACCGCTTCTCCACATTTCTTTACAAAATCCAATAACTGAAAAATTTCACCTTCAGTCTGGATGCCCGAAAACCTTCAAATTCGCGGCTATCTTCATTGTCCTCACCATGATATATGGTAGCTGGCCATAAATTATGCCAAGCATTTTTTAACGTATCTGGAGACACATCCTCCCACAATCTTGCGATGCTCCACACAGCAGATTTTATGCTAAACATTTTCAAAAAGTCTTGAATAGTCTTGTCATTATTCAAGAAATTTAACATAGATTTTAAAAATGCTACTTTTTATTTGCATTTCAGCGCGTGCACTATTCCCATATCCATAGGCTGAATGATAGACGTACAATTTGGAGGGAATCTAATCTAATCTAAGAAAATAAGCCGTACCGCCGAAATTGGCACAACCGGCAATTTAAAAGAAACAAACCGAAAGATAACTGGATAAACACTACAACAGAATAAGGACTACTTATCCAAAAACTCATTCTCCGCTGGAGATGTGTCGGTGTCACCAACGGGTCATCTCGACCTTCATTCAGAATAGAAACCACCTATTTCTTAACATAAAATGACTAAATTGAACTCAAGACAACTGCTAACCCAAACAACAATTATAAAATACAAATATTGCCCAGCTTAACGAACAAATAAGCATTTACAGTTTTCAGTAATTATACATTGTATGTATACAATTACATTATAATTTATGCAATTCAACTCAAAAATTTAAGCAATTAAACAAAAGGATCGAAATATACATAATTATTCAAATTGGTAATAATTTTTATAAGTCCTAATTTAGCTTTATTATTATAATTTGGAGGGAAGAATAATATGGATACATTATCTTTCATTAAAACTTTAAGTGAAGTATGTGCCGAACAGTTGTCAGCAATCAGGACTATTTTTGAGTCATCAGGTAAACCAACCGAATTCAAATGTCGCCAAGCCTCGCGTATAAAATGATTTTCAAATCAATCATTCATCAACGCTTGTATCATCCATGCTCTTTTATTTATGCGATATATAATGGGGAAAATCATTACTCCTTTAAATGCTCGAGGTCGTGCATGTTTCCCAATTAGGAAAAGTTTGCACTTGTGTGTTTCTGCAGCATTTGCGCATGCTAAAATTGTTAGTCTCACTTTGGAATCTTTGACACCAGTTGGAGCCTTTTCTTTAGAGTTTGCCAAGGTATTTCACAATACATATTGCCAGAAAAGACTAGTTTCATCAGCATTGTAAATTTGTTCTGGAAATAATTGTTCACTAGTAATGAGTTCAACGAATTCATCTTCAAATTGTTCAACAGCTTCAGTATCAGCTGAAGCTTTTTCCCCTGAAATTTTTAATTGTCTTATACCATGGCGATTTTTAAATTTGGTTAACCAACCTGTCAAATATGTGCACTCAGTGTTTAATTTCATTTCTTCATAAAATATTTTGGCTTGAGCCATTAGCATTGGACCCATCAATGGCACGCCCTTGCTGTGATGCTGTCTGACCCATTCAATCATCACTTTGTCATGATCGTCACTTTTAGCATAACGAACCCTTTTTCTGTTATTCATTGCAAGTGGGGTTTCGGAATCCACAATAAATTCAAAAAGTTCCTTTTTCTTTTTGCTTATGTCATATACAGTTGGCTTTCCAATGTCATACTCCTTGCATAATTTTGAGACGGATATGCCTTTATCCATTTTTTGCAGCAATTCCACTTTTTGTTTGATGGACATCGAAACATGCTTTCGCTTTGTAGATCCTTTGGCAGCTCCAGAATTGGAAACTCTTTTTGACATAATCAAAAGTTCAAGCTTAATGTTTATAAAATTGCTCTAACAGTCTGCAAAAAATAATAAGCCGAATTCAATTAGAAAATTAAGGAACAGCGCAATCTGCAACATTAACTGAAATGCCTTAGAATCAGTAAAGATAATTTTAGCCTAGCTTATACCATCCGCTATACATTAAACGCGCATGTGTAAAGTATACAAAAAAAAAGTTTGTGGCTTTGAGGTCCGGATTATACATCATTCCAGATAATGGATGTCCGGATTAGGGACTTTGTACTGTACTACACATTTGCATCAAGATTTAAATTTCTTACATGTCTTAATTCATGTTGGGACATTGCTTCTATGCCTTCTCGGTGAATTGCTAAATCCATTTCTCTGATAAAACCTGCATGCCTCCATAACCTCCACTGTTTACCAGGTAAAGTTGAAATTCCATGCATACGACATAGACTATGCTAAATAAAATAATAAATCAATTTATTTCTACAGAGTGAAAAGCTTTAAAATTTTAAACAGAAAAAATTTCACATGGTACATTAAGAAGTTTCTAATACATGCATTTTTTAAAAAATCATATGTAATTGAAAAAGTTTGAAAATGAACAGCTTTGCTCAAAATTTGACTGTCAGTTAAGAAAAACAAATTCAGTGTTTCTTTTTCTTTCTAAAGGGAAAATATTCAATTAGAGATAGCTGTACTTTTTAGGTTAGTATAATAACTTTATAAAATCATTCCCTCCTCCTAATAAAGAAAGTTACACTCCCTAGAAGTGAGTTCTGATTAACTTATTTTTTTAATACACATAAAATCTTTTAACAATTTATCAAATATTTAATTCAAATTAATGAAAAATTTTTTGAAGACCAAAGAATGATAAAAATTCTAACTTAACATTTTTGTTTTTACACGTTACTTTCATTACAACTTTATTAAAATTGTTTTTTACAAAGAGCAACTTTCATTGAAAACCAAGTGACCATGATTGAATCAGCTTATTAATTTGAATCACTTCAGCTTTAATCCAGGAAGTTGCCAGATATTATTTCTTCGAATTAAAAAATAAAAGGAAATTGGAAATCAATTGAATTAAAATGCAAACTTCAACAAATAAGTAGCATGCTTTTGATTTTGTTGTATACGCTAATAGGTGGCGGACACGCTGCAATGAGTGCTTGCATCGTGTTCCGGCATTCCTTGGAAACAACTGTGTAGGTAATCTGCAAGGTTTGTTCTGTGTCTTTAAAATGTTCAAGATTATCGAATAGCTGTCCCATACGAAGTACGGTCAATGATATGTTTTTTGTCTGCTGCAGACATTCACCAGCAGAGTTGTAAAGTTTATGGTGCTGCTGCCATGAGTGAAGGCAAAGTATTTAAGTGGGCAGAGACTTCAAAGTTGGCTGCGACAGCATCCATGATGAGTCCCACTCTGGTAGCCCATCTGTGATCACAGCACAGATCGCCCCAGAGTTACAACGCCGAATGAAACCGGTATTTGGCAGTTACTTCTAAAAGAAACAAGCGAAGCACAGCCTCAGACCTGTCTCGTCAGCTCTCTTCTGCCACTGGTAGGACAATTTCAAGGCAGACCAATGTACAGACGCTTAGGGCAGATTGGTCTATATGCTCATAGACCTGTCAGATGCGTTCCACTTACTGCAACTCACTGTCGCCAGTGGTTAGCCTGGAGTAGAGAGCATGCATTGTGGACACTGAAACAGTGGGCTTGTGTGATGTTTTCCGACGAGTCCAGGTTTAGCTTGCAGTCTGATTCTCGCCGGACTTTCATATGGAGAGCTCCAGGTACCCGTTACCACCAAGAAAACATCATTGAACGACACCGTTACGGTGGTGCAGGAGTGCTCGTTTGGGGTGGAATTATTCTGGGTTCCAGAACTGACCTGCATGTTCAAATTGGAACCATGACAAGCCAAATCTATCGGGACGTCATTCTGGAACAACATGTACATTTGTTTTTGGCGCCATGGGCGCACAATTTGTGTTTATGGATGACAACGCCCGTCCTCACCGTGCAAACATCGTAAGCGAATGCCTTCAATCGGAGGATATCACCCGTATGGACTGGCCAGCATTCTCACCGGACTTGAATCCAGTAGAGCACGTGTGGGATACATGCTTGGCCGACAAGTTGCAGCCCTGTCAACCTCCTCCTACATGTCTACCGGAACTTCGGAGAGCATTGCTTTTTGAGTGGTGTAATATCCCCCAAGATCAGATCGATAATTTGATACTCAGCATGCCTAGGCGTTGTACGGACTGTATTGCATCGTCTGGGAGACATACAATGTATTAACAATCATACCAACCATGTAATATTGGTTTTTTGTAAATAGGTTTTTTTTTTTGTAATTTGCTTTGGGGAGAAAAAATCGCTAATTTTTTTAATAATATCAAATATATAGCATCTTTTTTTTGCTCTTTACCTTTTGTTTAATAAATAAGCTTTACAAATAAGTCAAATTTGTTTTGCTTCTAACTCTTCCTTTGCCTGATTTTGCATTATCCTTAATTTATGGACATGAGTGTATTTGAAGCAACTGCAGACATTCAAATTTATTTTAGTCTTTAGATGTATGTCATGTAGATTTTGGCATGTGATTTTTTATTTTTAGTTAATGTATAATTTGTAGTACAATGTATATGTATATTAGTAAGAACAGTCTGCATTACTAACCAATTAATCATACAGTATTGCAAATAAAATTTTAAAATAGATAGCTTTTTATTCAGATCATACTCATTCAGTGAAGAAATAGAAATAAACATATATTTAATCTGATTGTTTCTCTTTTTTGACTGAACGAGTATAATCAAATAAACAGACACAAGCATACCAAAATATTCTGACTTCAGTTTTACAGATGGTTTTCAGCAGCTTTTGAAGATGAAGTAACTTGAAATATTGGAACATGCGTTCATTAATGACATAGTATGATTTCTTGTAGGTATATAATTATTAAAAAAATAAAATTTTGTGCATGGATAATTCTTATATACATATAAAAAATCTAACACTCTGATACATACATACACTGTGCCCTCTCCCCAAAAAATGTGGAGAGAAAGAGTAGTTTTATACCCCCATTCCAGATGGTAGAGTGACAAAATTAAATTACCTTTTTTCATATCTTGAAGGGATGGCTTAAGATACAGAGAATTATATAGAGTATTGCACTAACATATGTTTTCTAATACAAAATCAGACTTTTTCCCCCAAAAGTTTGATTATATGCCTTAAGTTATGGCTAAATACAAAGTTTTGTAAAAATCATAAAACAGTGCTCTTAAAATTTTTAATAATTTTAGTTTCCTAAGGTTTATTGAATACGGTATATATTTAAAAATAAGCCTTTAAAAAAATAACAAGCTTTTTTCAAAAAAAAAAAAAAAAAAAAAAAAAGATTAAATTTTTATGTTTCCTCTTTTGAATAATCAACAATTTGAGCTTAATCTAAATACACTTAGTACATTCCTTCTAATTTACTTTTTTACATATTAATTAATTAATTTTTTAAAATTATATCCAATGAAAATTTGTTATTATAAAACAAAGTGAAAATAGTACATAAGTAAATAAAATATTTTAGCTTTCTCTAGATCAGATTGTTTATTTCATAAGAAAATTCTCAAAATTGATTCAAAATTTTTTTAATCTGCTCTAAAAATTACCTTGCTTAATGAGACCCTTTTTGATCAGTCTTCAGAGTGACATATTATTGAGGACTGACTGTATCAGAATGAATGTTTGCAAGAAGTTGTATGAAATACATGCTAAGAATATCTGCTCTATAAAAATTGCATAGAATAAAAAAAAAAAAAAAAAAAAAAAAAAAAAAAAAAGAAACAGAGAAAAGATACAATTTGACATTTACAGAGAACAGAAGAAACATACAAAGAAGAAACATCATCACTACTAATTAACATTAGTTAAAAAATATTAAGCTATAAATAGAATTTGTAAAACCAGCATTTATAAACCTTCGAAGAACAGCAATGCTTAATTAATATAACCAAATTTTTTAATAAAATCTTCTTATGATTTATTTCAATCTATTTTAATTCTTCATTTTTGTGAAAAGTAAAAAGAACAACATACCAAGTGCCTGTTTGTTATGGAAAATATACCATATGGTTTATCAACAAACAAAGGTTTAACTTCTAAAATTTCATCAATTGTTGGATGCAAGCCACTTCCTAACTGTAAATAGCAAATTAATCAAAATTAAGAATCAGGAAAAAAAGTGATAAAAAATAACCAAACAAGCATTTCAATAAATTTGTTACCATTCAATTATTTAAAAAAATTGCTGTTTAATAAAAATATAATTTAAACCGTGATGTGTCATTAACAGACTAGTGAAAGAATTTTGTAACAGTTAATCTTGAAACAGATTCTGTAATAACACTTTTCAGTAAATTTTTACCTCACACTTAAAAACAATAAAATATTTTTTTCTGATTCTGAAAATGCACACTGTTTAAGTGTAATTGAATTTTTAAGCAAACTGGATGAGCTCAGGTTATACTGACTCTAGGCCAGTTCACCTACACTCTAATATTATTACCATAGCCACCATTATGCGCAGAGAAAAGGAGGCACTTGCCTCGGATGAATGGTTAGAAGGAGCACCAAATTAGCTGTGAAATTTTAGAAATGCAATCATGATTGTTAGATTTCAATTTTGAAACATATCCAGAAGCATCATTTTAAACTATCACACTTAAAGTGATGAAATTATGCTATATTCTTAAGCATTTGCACACATTTACTCCGATTAACCAAAACCAAATCAAAAACTTAAGTAACCAGTAATTATTTAATATTTAAAATGAGACAGAAAAATTATTACATATTTTTTATGTAATTTACTTTCATTATTATTGATTCATACTTATACAAATGCCTCAGATTTACATAAGGCATCAAATCATAAATTATTGCAATGGGTTGAAACCTAATAGCCTCATTAAGCAAATCAATTAAATTCTTATACATGTCTGTAGAATTTACTGTTGCAAGAAAACGACAAGGTAAATAAAGCCTTGATATCAAAACCTTTTAATTATACATAAAGCTGCATCCTCAATACAGGGATTAACTTGATACTGAATACTGGCAACTATATTTGTTGCATGGGTATTTTCATGGTTTTGTCTACCTGTAACATAAATACAAGCCAGCTTCCCTTACAAAGTTCTCCATGAGAGGAATCCCTCTCCTTAGACAAAAAGCTTTTGTATAATCTGTCATATTTATTTAAACAAAATCATAATAGAAAGATTTTTCATGTTCTTTAAAAAAAAAATTAGAGAAAATATTCTCAAAAAATTTTGCTTTTAAGATTAATATATCAACAGACTATGAAAAGAATTGAAAAAGAAAGGTTAATAAATCAGATTGTCGAGAATCTTGATAATAGAACTAATTTTTCAGAAAAATATATTTTTTTTTTAAAGTAGAAATAAAGGAATGTTTAATCTCAGAATTAAAGCAGAGATAATGAAAAATTTAAATGAAACATCATCTGATTTTCAGTTTCTACTTGATGCCCAATTAATATCACTGGATTAAGGTACTTTAATAAGAATATATTAGAACTTAAATATCTGAATGATATAAATTTTCAAGATTATTAAGAATATTTTTTAAAAACCATGCTTTTTCAATAATTCTGGCCACTAAAACAGGGTAAGATTTTTTTAAAATATAATTCAGGAATACAGTTTTGTTCAACCATATCAGAATTCAGGAACTGCATTAAGATTTTCCTTCTTCATGAGATCCACAGCCTGTTTCTCCAAGTTTCCTCCACCTGACCCCATTCAGCATAATAGCCTTCCATTGGTTAAGTCTAATTCACCTTAAATCTTTCTTGACATCAGCTATCTATCTAGTGGGTGGTCTTCTGTTTCGTCTTACTCCCTCAATTCTCGAAAAGGTAATTTTTTTGGTTGGAAACGCATTATCATATCTAAACACATGGCTCAGCCATGTGATATGAGATGTCTTTACGATTCTCACAATATCATTTTCACCATATTTCCAATATTTTCCATATAGTTCATGATTATAACCCTCCACATACCATTTTGTTGTACTGGTCCAAATATCTTTCTTAGGATTTTTCTTTCAAATGTGGAAATCAAGTCTTTCTCTACTCTGTTAAGTATCCAACATTCACTTCCATAAATGGCAACAGGCCTTATTAAAGTTTTAAATAAATTTAATTTAGTTTTTATGCCAATTAGCTTAAGTTGTTTTTAAAGACCATAGTAACATCATAGTAACATCTATTAGCCATATATATTCTATTCTTTATTTCAATTTTTATATCATTGCAACCTGTGATCAATGTGCCCAGATATTTAAAATGTTTTACGGTTTCAAAGGTATAACTGTTTATCTTCAAGGGGGATAAATCAACAGTTTTATTAGATGCAATTATAAATTTTGTTTTGTCATCATTAATGATTAGGCCCATCTTTTTTGCTGCATTTTGAAGTGAGACAAAAGCCTTCGACCACAGCACGTTTTGATTGCCCAATAATATCAATGTCATCGGCAAAAGCCAGCAGTTGAATGTTTCTGTGCAAGATGGTTCCACTTGTGTTTATTCCAGAGTCTCTTATGGTCTTTTCTAAAGCTATATTAAACAGCAGGTTGATAGTGAGTCTTCCTGTCTTAATCCTTTCTCAGTATAATTAAGATTTTTAATGTTGCCAATTATTGTGCTAAAACCAGAATGATATACTGTAACACAATTATTATTGTTAGGGTAAAACAATATTCAGGGAAATTAAATAAAAAAATATGCAAAATTGTTGAGTCAATAGGTTTTTATTTTAGAGTAGAAGACGTAAAAAAATGTGCAGTGCCTTCATCAGAACTCAAACTTCAGACCTTCCAATTGCCTGCTGGACATGCTTTTCAGTAACACTAGAAATGCATGTGGCAAGGAGAGAGAAATGCCTTACAACTATAGGTACAATTTTGTCCTGAGAATACTTGTGACAGTTTATAGTCATTTTCCATTCCTATTTTCTCATTCATTTCATTACATCTGAGAAAATCTGATAAGAGAATAGGATTCAAAAACCAAACAATGGCTTGCAAAGTCAAACAGAAATTGTATGATGTAATAGTATCTTAAAAATACCAGCACTTGGAGGAAAGTGTATTAATATCTCAGTTAAGTGATCAGATATGATCAAGAAGTAGGGAACAAGTTGAACTATTTTCAAAGTATGATATTTCTTCAATTCTAAGACACTATTGATTGCAGAATGCATTTCTACATTTCAGCATCAAACTGAAGAGAAAGGGGATTGTAAGAAAATAAATGAATGCCTATAGCAAACACTTTTATTGCAACAGAATTAGATTCATTAACATTAGCATTTATTTATTAATAAGCATCACCACTTAACATCAGAATCTGATTTTTCCAAATCATTTCTATCTGTACCTTAGTCAGTATCAAAGTCCACTTCACTTTCTGAGTCGTGAGAAAAATAATCCTTATGCTGAAAAATTATTTGAAATAACATTTTTATAAAAGTGAACTGATGGATGTCATATACACAAAGCACAATAACTTAGGAAAGATCTGCAATTCTAATAACATATACCATTTTTTAGGTTTGGTTTATTTTATTATGGCAAAGACCAGAGAGGGAAGGGATGTCTTCGTGGAGGACTTTCTATGAAAGACTTGCCCATATCCCATATTCACATGGAGAAAACCATGAAAATTCTCATGCACCCAGCCAGTTTGCTTGGATTCAAAACCAGGATGAACTACCAGCATTCAGTGATTTTAAAGTTAATAATATATATGTTATGTAAGAATTTAAGAAATAAATCACAAATAGCAACAGCTGATTAAAATAAGAACATGGCTTTAATTTTGTTTGAAATCATAAAATCATTTTACCAAAATATTTAAATACAAACCACAAAAAGGAAATTTTTAGAAATTATTGAAAGTTGCACACAGTTAAGTTATATGTATAATAAAAACATCAATTGTACATCAACTTTATTAACCCTCTCGCTGCGTAATTTTTTTTTTTATCAAAGTTGGTTAAAAATTGTGCAATTTATCAATTACATAATTCAAATCTACAATATTTTAGAGGTTAAAACATACAAAAAGTTTTTGTAAAAGAGTTTTTTTTTTTTTTTTTTTTTTCCAGTACAGAATTAGCTCATAAAAAAGGTTGTCATAAAGTTTAAACTGAGGAATAATCATATAAAAGAAACATTTTGAAAATTAATCTTGGTTAAATTATTTATTTTACAAAATATAATGGTATAATGTACATACTAATGAAAATACGCAAAATATTTATAAAACATTTATTAGAAATGAAGTGTACGCAAAAACTTTGAAATACGATAAACGATAAACTTTGAAACAATGCTCGAGACTTCCTACCTCACCATCTTTGCATCAAATACACGTTTCTTTGAAAATTTTTTTGCTAGTTTCAGTTCTTTTTTTAGAAACAAACAGCATAATGTCTACGAGTTTCTTTCTTGATGGAATTGGGGGCTATATATCTAGCAAAATGTCGAGCAGTTAGTCTCATGTGATTGAGAGTTGAACTACGGACATCTTTGAGCTTTGAAAAGAACGTGCGAAATGGTGCAAAATGTGTTTGTATATTTCGCAAAAATATGGACAACTAATGACATCTGTTAACTCAGATCTGTATAAATAATTAAACATCACAGAAAAGTCGAAATGAAACCATTAACGGGAAAAGAGAGGGTTGCACAGTTAAATAAACAAATTACAGTTGGGACAGAGTTCTCGTTCTTATGGGAGTAAAATTGCTGGTCCTATATGGTGCACCTTGGTTAGTGTTCTCCACAATGAGAAGGCTAAATGAGAGATGAATTTGGCCATAATTTCTGAGGAGTGTAACCAATGAATGATTTAGCCATAGCATTTGATAAAACAATATTAATGTCTGGCTCTTAGGGGAGGACAGTATTGTTGATACAGAAAAAAGCAACAAGATTCTTTAACATCATTGGAGGCATTGTACAATAGTAATTCAGCCTACTAAAAGCTTTTTAAATAGTTTTTCTTTTCGTGGGTACAGCACAGCTATTTTCATGAGAATAGTAAAGAGCTTCTTGTATTATTAATCCAAATTCCCTTCTTTTCTATGTATGATTTCCATTAATCTGTATTTGTGTGGTTTTTTTTCCTTTAACCCTCTCGCTGCATATTCCGTGATTTCCACAGGCAACATAGAAGTAGCAAAATTTGCATCCCCCATGGAAATCGCGGGTTGTGCATAGTTTATAAAAGATGATATTTTTTATGCAGCTCTTGCTTCAAAACTGGCACATGAAAATTTTGTCCTTGCATTCATAACGTGCTTTAGCCCATTCTGACATCTGCCAATATTATTTTCTAAACACTGCAAGAAAGAATCCTGTGACTTAGAAATGTCACAGGACTGGAATGAACTGCTTATGAGCAAAGCACATAAGAGTTATTTTTTTAAGCTTCATGTCAGTTTGACTAACAGAGTCGAAGGAGATGAAGCCAAGAATTCTTACTATCAACTTCTCAGGAAAATTATCTGACAGATTTTAAGTGCTCTCAATTTAAAAAAAAAAAAAAAAAAAGTGCCATAATTACAAACATATATACCTTACAAAGGATTTGAAATTTCATAAATTTTAATTCTGTTCATTTGTTTTTCAATCATATGTTAAGGAAAATATTTATCTGAATTTATTTAACGATAAATTATTATTTGATTTTAGTGTATTATTTATTATCACTTTTAGGAGGAAAAATTTTTTTTACTCCTGAAGAGGGATTTGTATCTGATTGCCCCTTAAAAATCAATAGAGTTTTATTGAAATTCTAGGTGAATCTAAAATTGCTATTATACCTAATTTTAAATGGAAATATGTGCAAATTTTAAATGCCATTAAAACAAAAAAACGATACTATTCAATTATACAGCCAATCTTCCCACAAAATCAGCAATGATTAGCAACTAATTTTTCACCAAGCTATTAAAAACAAAAATGGAAAACAGTAGCCATTTTAAAAAATGGTGGTGTTCTGTAAATTACATGAAACAGCAAAGAATTAATAATATTAAAAGCTTAAGAAACATGCATAATGAGACATTAAAATTAGTTAAAACAAACATTTATAATGAAACATTCAAAATCACATAAAACAGCAACAAATTCACTAAATTAAAAATGCAACAAACATCCACAACAAAATGTTTAATTCTCTCTTTTCCTGGTCTTCTGTCTGGGATATATTTTAGTTTAAAAAACATCATTCTTGGCATTACAGAGTGAATTCCCACTTCTCTCACATTAACTTGTTTAAACTTAAAAAAAAAAAAAAAAAAAAAAAAAAAAAAAAAAAAAAAAAAAACTTTATGGAATGTGCATTCCAATACTCTACTACAAAAATGGAATGTGCATTCCTATACTCTACTACAAAAAACATTATATTTTTTGAAAAAGTGCTATACTTTCTTTTCATTCACAGTAGCTTTAAGATTCATTACAAGAAAAAAATTACACACGCTAATCGCAACAAATAGACATCATAAAATGATCCTCAAATTTCAAAACTGCGCACATTACCACCAATATTGAGGTATGGTGGCATTATGCACTAATACAACATGCATATGCAACAACCAGTGGGTTGCCAGATAAATATATTTTTGCAAAATTCTGGGTTGCACTTTGGCGACATAGCGCTTTTAGCTCGTGATTTTGACAGTGTTGGGCAAATAATGGGATAGTTAAAAAAAAAAAAAAAAAAAAAAAAAAAATTTCTTATACATATTAAGTATCAACACCAACACATTTATTATGAATTCAGAGATTTTCTGTCACATTTGAATGAAAATTATTTGCAAAACATGTTTTAAAACAAAAACACAATTAATACTAAAATGACAATTATGCACTTATTTATTTAATAAAACAAAATTTTTTGTCAATTTTTCAGTTATAAAATGATAATACTAAAAATAATAATTTGATAAGCACCTTATAAAAAATGTCCTGACATTTATTTCTAGAAGCTAAGTCATCAATATTATGGACTTTGGCTTGTAACTGACGAAATACAGGCCTATAATAATACAACTTCTTTTTCTGACTTATAACAGCAAAATCCACTTTTTGTTGCAAAGTCCAGAAATGAGATGAAAGAAATCTTCTTGGAAATAAGTATCTGAAAAACCATAAAAAAAAAAAAAAAAAAAAAAAAAAAAAAAACATTGTATGAATTCTTATTTTATTTTTATGTAAAAAACTATAAATAATGGCATTCAGTTAAATAACATTTATTTATAAACTGTGATGGAAAGCTTAGTAAAATGCTTAAAAATATCATTTGATATATAAGTGTAACAGCATTCATAACATAATTTGACTTGTATAATGCAATAAACATCACACATCAACATACACATCAGATGATTCTATTCATTCCCCCTTTTTTTTGTTTGTTTTGTTTATTCGATATGGAAAGCTGTAGTGCTGGGCACTGTGTTTTTGCTGCTGAAATTTATTCAAAAACATGCTATTACTCTATTCTTTGGATTCAAAAATAACAATGCTATAGTTTCTTTACTGGTATATTTCAAGTAATCTTCTATTTCCTAAACACATTGTGGCATTAGTGAAAAATTACACTAGAGTTAGCCTCAACAATATCTTTGGCAATATGAGACAGCCTCCAATGCAACTCGGAAGAATGTTCGGTGTAACAGAAGTCATATTTATAAATTAGTGATTAACTGTATTGTAATTTAGCAGTCCAGAAAATAAGAAAAAAATCAGCTATTGCTCATTTATGATTACTGCAGATGTTCTCCTACCTCTGTAATTGTGACTATAATGGACTCTAAGTTTCAATTTCAGATTATAGATGCATGAATTTTGAGTGCACAATATTGTTTGTAAAATGTGCTTGTAACATTAATGCTTTCAAAATATTAGACCATTGTTGTGAATTCTGATGAATTTGAGATTTCAGTATAGAAGATTTCAGTATAGATGACAACTGCGGACTTGTTTACAGAAATGGTAGAAAAAATATCAAGGTAAGTATTCACAGTTCCTTTAAAGAATCCTTTTTTTTTTTTGGTATCTCACCCGGAATGGTATAATATTACTTTGATATTATTGGAAAATCTAATGTATTCATCAAACATACTGATTTGTATTGAATTTTTATCAGTCAAAAATGAGTGAAGAAATTATTTCTAAATTGAAAAAGATGCATTGAACATCCAGAGAAGCAATTACTAAAATTCTTAATAAGATCTGAGCTTTTCACAGGAATATAAATGAACCGGAAGAACATTTAGAACTGCTGAACTGTAAAGTTGATAATCTAAAGTTTACTGACAGTGAGTTAGAAGATATTTTAAAAATGGGAGAAACTGCAGTGAAGAATATCTAGAAAACATAATTTTATGCAAATTCAGAGCCACCAAGAAAATTACTGAGATTAAAAATTTATTGATTCATTCACCTTTGAAAAGCTAACAAAATTTAAGTGAACAAATTTTTCTGAGAGAACATTTTTCCAATGAAAATGTTAATTCAAAACTTCCTAAGCTCACGATTTATAAATTTATGGTCACACTAGTTAATGGGAGTCAATTTGGATTTCATATGAATCTGCAGTGCATGAAAACATACAAAAGATGATAAATTCAGTTATCTGAGGGCTCATTTATGTGGTTCCACATTAAATACTATTAACAGTTTCTTGATTATATCTGATAATTATGATAACACTATCAAATTATTAACTGACAGATAGGGAAGAAAAGATGTTTTGATAAATGTTCACATGAATAATTTGTTAAGTATTTCCCCTCTTAAACATTCTTACGATAGCAGAAGCTTTCGAAAATTATTAAATAGTTGTCAGATGCAAATATATAGTTTAAAATTTAGTCACAGATGGAAATTTGTTATGCCTCGTGATTTTTAAATGTTTATTTTCAGATCTAGTTTTAGAAATTAATAAAGAAATCAATAACTTCAGATGTAAAGTTGATAATTTAATCAGCTTGTTCAATAGCCAGTTAAGCATGAGAGTGTAGGTTGATACTTCACCAAATGACTTTCGAAACTTTTTCACCATTTGCAGTTGAAAAGAGCATTAATACTGACACATCAGGAAAATTTAAACAAGAAATTAATTGTATGGGCAAAGGGAAAATACCCAATTCTGCTGATCTGCCAAGTTCAGAGGTGAAAAAAAAATTGAAAAAATACTTGTGTATTTTGTAATAAATTTCACAGTTTTGAAAGATGTGATTATGCCTGCAATATTAGTATTAAAAAAAATCTATTTTAAGCAAAAAAGGGGCTCGCTTCAGATGCTTGGAACTAAACAAACATTTATCAAGACAATGTAAAATAAAATTTGTTTGTTTTGTAAGGGAAAACATTTTGATATTATGTATTTTTCTACTTAAAATAATCTCGTCAAGAAAACAGAAGCTAGATGTGTTTATGAAATAGATGAACATACTGTTTTGTTACAAAGGAAGTGTACTTTCAGATTTTAATTGTTAATATAATAGCAAATGGGAAAGAATATTTGGAATGCATAATCATAGCCTCAGGAAGTCAGAACTACATAAGCAGATTTGAGGCTGAGAAACTGGAATAAATTCCTAGGAGAAGAAATAGTGATACATGGTTTGCTTGGGGATATTGAAAAAACAGAAAAACACAAAAGGTATCTCATGAAGCTATCTAGTATTGATTTAAAAAAATATATCAGGTACAATTTGAGGCCATGGATTGAAAGAAAATTTGGTCGGATATTCCTAGAACTGGAGATAGCAACTGTATAAAAACCTAAAAGAAGTTGGCATATTCATAAGTGATATTACTTTACATGGAATTTTAGATGTATATTAAAAAAAAATCCTAAATAAAATGCATGGTCTTGCAGGAGCAGATTTGGCTGGGAAATTATATACATAGGAAATAATAGTGAACTTAATAGCCAGAAATACCAATTAAGGCTGGACAATTTTGGGCAAGGATACCAAAGAAAACAAAAATGACAGTTCCCTGTTAGTGCTCTCTATTCATGTAAGCAATGTTCAGATATCAGATCTGTCAAGTTTATATTCTTTGGGAATAACTGATTCTACTGAAAATAAAATAAAAATGGAGCTTGCTTTTAAACATTTTAAGGAAACTGCTGAGAGAAATAAAAAAGTTTATCAAATAAGAATCCCCTGGTTAGACCATCTCCCATTGTTAGAGAATAAAGATTTACGTAAGAAAAAACTTAAAACAGTCAGATCCCTTAATTCTGCATGTAAGTTAAAAGTCTATCAACAAGTATTTAATGTGTAGGAAAAGGAAGATATTATTGAAAAAGTAATAAAAGGTGAGGAGAACTTATGCATTCATCTCTTGCCACATGAAGCTAATATAAAAGAAAATTCCAAGATAAAAATACAACCTGTTTTTGATGGATCAGCTAAAACTCGTAGTTTGATGTCTATGACTGCATTGAAAATGGACCTAATTTGATTGAACTCATCCTTCAGTGTTGAACTATTTCAGATGGGGAAAGACAGGAGTTAAAGCAGATATCCAAAAGGCCTTCTTACAAAGTTTTAAATGAAAAGACAAATTTTCTACAGTTTTGATGATGGAAATAGGGAAATCCAGTTTTTTAAATTTGTTAGAGACATCACCATGTAATATTTGGTCTTTTCTTTAGCCCTTCTCTTCTAGCTGTTGTACTGACAGACCATTTAGATCAAGTAACTGAGAAAGAGGAACTGGCAAGTAAAATCGTGAATAAGATGTACTTCAACAACTGCATAACAAGTGTGAATTCTTTTTAAGATGTTAATCTTTTCCACTCCAAATCTCAGAAGTTGTTTAGCTAAATTTGATCTACAAGGATTAGAGAACACTAGCCCCCCTTCACCTATGGCAGGGGTCAGCAACCTGCGGCTCGCGAGCCACATGCAACTCTTTGGATGTGAAGCTGTAAGGATCTTAAGTTTTACTAACGTTTATTTTATTTTAAATCTTTACTATCACTTCTTATTTTCTACTTCCGGCCAGAATTATAAGCGTGAAGGAGTTTTATGCAAAGTTGTCTGGCGAACGCCAAGTATTTAAGTGTGGCCTTTTTGCCAAGCAGAAGAGAGGAAGCCGTGAGTTCGAAGCAGGCCGCTTACCTTAGAAGTTACGCAGTTGCTACTTTGCCTTCCAGGCCAGAGGTTTTAAATCCTCTTGATAAATTAAACGTATTGTAGTGTTCACAGTCTCTGTGCTACATACGCTTTCTGTTATTATAAGGCCAATCTTATTCTAAAGTTAAATTAGAGTTTTAGTTTTATTTTGATATCTTTTAAGTTAGACCCCGAGTGGAGGGTCATTGTATTCCGAAGTACGGAAGTCATTGTATATAAAGAAAAAAAATAAAGGGTTTTGTATACCCTTCGTCTGTATCCTGTCCACTTACTACAATTAGTGAACATAGCTTTAGTAAGCTCTCTGTTCTAGTCAGGTCATTGTATGTTTCCGAAGAAAGTTAGAAGAAACATTGAACCTGATAGTGGCGCCCGACGAAGAATAACCATGGCCGAGTTTCAAGAAGAACCTGTGCTGCCTGCAGAAACAGCTCAGAATCCAGAAATGCCAGCTGCCGCCCTGGAAGGATTTGGGTATATTGTCCAGACCATGCGCGCTTCGATGAAACCGGAAGCAACGTTTAATGGAAACTCACAGGTAACCAGTTTTTTTGGAAAAATTGGATGACCACTTCATGCTCTAACCCCGTGCACGAGTTTCAAAAAGTTACCTTAGCTACCAGCGCTTTGAGGGGCCAAGCGCTTAACTGGTTCAAATGTATCGGCAGAAGTCTCTTGGGTCAAGCAGGAAGTCCCACCTATACCTACGAAAATTTCAAGACTGCCCTACTAAAAGCCTTCCCTGTTGTAAGGGATCGTGCGAAATTAGAAACAGAACTTTTCAGTATATATCAACAAAGAATGGAAAACCTCTCCAGGTTTATTTTAAGAAAAATTCACGTTTTCAAGCTCTTGTATGGAAACCGTCCGGATCCTGAAATAATTCAAGTGATTTTGCCGAGGTTACTACCCCAAGTGCAAGACTTTATTGAATTGAGAAATCCGACTACACTGGAAAAATTATTTGAGCTAGCAATCC